ACCAGTAAAAGATATTCTTATTATGTCTACTACAAGTCTTCGGAAGCTTTTTTGCTCGTTCAAAATATTTAATATCATCTACCATTTTTTGAATAAATGAAAATTCAATTCAATATTTCGAAGCTATTTATTTTGTTTTGGAAGATTATTAGACTTTTCAAGAACAATTACCATAAAATCCGGACACGTGTACCCCGGGTATTTTCATTACTCAATTTAGTACCCAGGGTACCTCTATATGGGGGGTACACCGTATTGATAAGGGTACGTAAATCGAGGTAGCTAGTTGATTGAACTTCTATTTTAATATCGATATATGCTGCCAAAAGAAAATGCGATATCGGGCTTTCAATTTTATTCTTGATTATTTACCGGATTCAGCCTATGAAAAATCTGATTAGTAATATTATTTGTGGGCTGAAATCTGATGAATAATTGATGATAAACTTGAAAGCCCGATGTCACACTAATGCCATTCACATGATGCATTGGGAATTCTTGCATATTTAAACCATTTTGCCTAAAAAAAAAAGTTTTTTAAAAAAAAAATTTTTTAAACCATCTTTTTCTTTGTTTGAAAGTATTAAGTACATTGAATATTAATGTTCTTATATTCATTTTTTAAACCATTCGTTCATATTCAAAGGATGTGCTCATTGCCTTGACAGCTTGGCAACTGGGTAGACTTTTTTTTTATTTATTATACTGTCATGTATGTGAACTGTTTGAAAGTGCACCTTATTGCTTTGAGCAGGACATCGGCTCTAGGGTAGCTCTAGGGCTACCTAACGGCTCAGCAATTTGGTTTGAACTTTTTTTCCTCTAAATCCTTTTTTTTATTTAAATCCCTTTAAATCCCTTTAAATCCCTTTAAATCCTTTCTCATGGCATCAAAATATTTATGAATGATATACCCGAATTAATGAAAATATTCTTAATAATTTAAATAATGAATTTTATTCCTTATACAGTATTTATTCACTGTGTGTATTTTCTTTTCATGAATTTATTATCAATATGAACTGGGCTTTATTTTTACTAAATTCATCATGTGCAATGTTCCCCTTAAATAAAAACCTAAAAACATGAATTCTCCAGAATGCGTTAAAAAAAAAAATGTCTCCACGAAATAATAATATTACAAAAAAAGCCCGTATTGGTAGTAAAAAGGTTCGGCGTAACTGGAGTGTTCGTGAAAAACTTATGGTAATTTATTACTTCGAACGTGTTAAAAACGTGAGAGCAACCGCAAAGCGATTTGATATTGAACCTAAACAAGTCTGTAACTGGCGAAGCAAGAAACAAGAACTTCTAAATTCCGCACCTTACCTTTTAACTCTTAATCATGGCCGACCAGCCCAGTACCCACTTTTAGAAAGAAGGTTGGTTGAATGGATTGAAACTCTCCATAATAAACATATGGCTGTTACACGAAAAATGGTTGTTACAAGGGCCAAACAATTGGTTCAAATTAATGAGATAAAGGATGCATATCCTAACATTGGTGATGATTTTAAGTTTTTTAATGGTTGGCTGTGTAGATTTTTGTATCATAATGAGTTATCAAATCGCCGACATACAACAGTTTCGCAGCATCTCCCTGAAGACCTCATTAATCTATAAAATGAGTTTTTGAGTTTAATTTTGTTCAAACATCACCAATACAATTATGATATCCGTTACATTGAAAATATGGACGAAACACCTTTGTCCTTTGACCTACCATACCCAGTAATTCTTAATAAACATGGGGCCAAAACAATAGCAATCTGAACAACTGGACATGAGAGGACCTCTTTTAC